ATTAGTAACAGCATTAGCAGTAGGTTTAGAGGACTCAGATTTATTACCATCTTTTTCTGACTCTGTATCCGAATCATAATCGGACTCTGAACCGGAAGTATATAAGAAACTATAAATTTTATCATGAACTTCTTCGTCCAGTTCTAAGGCTTTCAGCTTTTCAAGCTTACAATTGGGTGCTATATGACCAAATTTACCACATTTGTAGCACTTGATTTTAGCGAGTTCTCGCCTGGACCCATTTCTTGTAAATCTATTAGACTTATGACGAGATCTTCGTTCCTCTCGTTCTTCTCTAGACCTTCGTCTAGATCTTTTCCCACTATAAGGTTTATCGGAAGTAGGGTTGGGATTAGTAGTCTCTCTATTTTTGGTCTGTTTACCTGAGTCTGGTAAACCAAACTGGGTACAAAAGTCTCCTAATTGAGATCTTTCCCTGAGCTTATCTATTTTAAGCTGTCTAGAGAGTTTTAATTCATTGCACAAATTTATTCCTTCTTGTGTGCAAGCTTCTATTAACTTACCATAAGTGAAAGCGCCATAAGGAATAGCTCTTTGCGGCGTTCTAAGATTCTTTTTAACTCTTTCAGCAAATAGTTGGGGCAAACCATATATAAACTTAGCTTTCCAATGCTCCAGACCATTTTCTGGCAGCTCCATGACTCTACTCATATAGGTATCTTTATACCAACGGAATTCTCCTAAATGTCTACATCGAAGACCATTTAGTAAGGATCAAACAGTCTCATATTGATTGGTAAATCTACCATTGAAATGTTCGAGAATAGTCAAGACTAAGGTATAAACTGCGTCTTCTCTATTTTTTACTAAAATGAATCCTAGGTTATCAATTCCTTCATTAGCGGCCTTAGCATTGATTATGGCGGCTTTTGCCTCCGTGCTCATATAATTATCCCACCAGCCTCTAAGTTGGCCAGTAAAACCTACAATTATCATTTTGCAAATAGTTCTATCGGTGTTATTAACACTCTTACAAATAGTAGCATACATAAGCAT